TTCGTAATTTCTTGCATTTTATTTTCTTCTCTTTATATTATTTATCTCCATATTCGACCCCTATTAATCAAGTTTAGAGTTTAATCGACTATAAACGATAAGAAAACTCCGCAATTGAATAAAATATAAGAGGCCAAAATAATAATAATAATAATAATAATAATAATATTAATATTAATAATAATAATGAGAGGAAATGGTGAAATAATTGTAGCATTGACTCCTGTGTAAGGTTGACATTTTTGAAGGATGACTCGGCGAGTTAAGGGCCGAGTCAAATATTTTTGGATTTATTCAATTTTTATCCATTTGAAATGCCATTGTTTTCAAACTCTATGAGAAAGTCAACGCTTTTTTTCAGAGGAAGAAAATTTCTGAGCATATTTTTTGGAAAATTTACGAGTATCATTGAATTAAAATATTTATTTATTTCTTGAATTTTTTAAAATATATTATATATTTTTTAATTTAGAATTTGATAATTGGTATCAATTTTAGCTCTAATAATAAAATTTCATTGTTTTAAAAATTAATATTAGAATAAGAAATATGAATGAATCTTTAAAAAAAAAAAAAATGGTCTATTTTAAAAATTAAACGCGTTTTTTTTTTTTTTTTTATTTAAAAAATATTAGAAAGCACGAGGGGGCGAAGGATGACCATTTTGTTCCACGAAAATCTGATGTCACGGACCAAGATTTCGGTCTTCATTAATGGCATTTTACGTAATAATTCTGTGAATGGAGGGTAATTATGAAACATTAACCCTTTAAATAAAACGAACATGTGCCTTAATGGGACATTGCCACTTGCTCCGTCTTCTTCTCTTCTTCACTCAAAGACTCCTTAGTTTTACTGCTCGAACTGCTTCATACTCTGTTTTGTTTTCTCTGATTCAGCCCAATTTCTTCGTGTTCTTCTCTGAATTTTGAAAGTTCTTGAGGTGAGAAGATTGAAAATGGAATGAAAATGGTGATTTCTGAATTGAATGTTTTTCTTCCTGTTTGTTAGATTAAGCTTAGTTTAGTGTTGTGTTTTTTATGCTCTATTTTCAGATTGGGTTTTGTTGATCATCTGGGTTTCATCCGATTTCAGATTTTTAGGGTTTGGAATTTCGTCGAACAGTTTAGAGGCATACCCTGATTTTATGGACCGCGATTCCACGAATATCCATAGCGCTGGTGGGCTTATGCGCTATTGGTCTGCTCCGACCTCTGTGTTTGCGAATCTCCTCGATGGAACTGAAGGTCTTCTTCTGAGTAACAATGGCGGCGGTGGCGGCGGTGGCGGCGGTAGTGGGGCAGAGGACTATCGGGTCATTCGATCTACGAGCCCTGTGGTGGTTAATCGATCTTGTTCGATGGTTAATAGGAGTTTGGTTAATTGTGGTGTTGGAGCTCAGACTGGGAACTCGTTGGGGGTTATGAATTTGAATAACTCGATGCAATTCGATTTGGGTGCGAGGAATGCCGGAAATCTTTTCAGGCAAAGTAGCTCTCCTGCTGTTGGGGTTTTCTCCCATTTGACTGCTGAAAATGGTAATATTTCATTGTCTAAACCCTTTGTTTTAGATTAACTTGATTGCTTCAAATTCTGTGGAAATACATATGGTTGACTACCTTGTAGCCCAGCGTTCCGCTGGCACACTAGTATGTGGCTCTTATACCGTTGTAACAGCCAGCACAAACCCATAGCTGATACAGTACTTGGTGCCTAACTCTGATAGCATTATAATAGCCCAAACCTACCGTTGATATACTGTTTTGTGTCTAGCTCTTATACCCTTGTAAGAGTCTAAACTCCCGATTGGTACACTGCTAGGTGTCTGGCTCTAATACCATAGTAACTGCCCTAGTCTATCGCTCTCCAACTAATGTGGAATCTCACAATCCACCTCCTTGGGGATCCAACGATCTCGTTGACACATCCCCTAGAGCCTGACTCTAATATCATTTGTAACAGTCCAAGCCCACTGCTAGTCAATATTGTTCTCTTTGGACTTTTCCTTCTCGGCTTCCTCTTGAAGTTTTAAAACTTATATTCTAAGGAGAGGTTTCCACCTTTATAAGGAAGGTTTCGTTCTCCTCTCCCACTAAAAATCTTACGGTAATATTTGAAATTTGAAATTTTCTTTTTAAAGAAGGGAGTTAAAAGGAAAGGAATGCTTTCTTAGTTGGTAGTGAGAGCAGTAAACTGAAATGTATAGCTTAGAATGAATGGCTTTTTAACAAGGATCGACCGACTTGCAGGCAATACGACAAGGCAATATGATGACGATTTCCTCAACAGTTCTTGGCATAACTCTGCAATCAAGGATTTAAAAAGAGGTAGAGATAACAATGGGCGCACGTTTCCGACATCGATCGTGCTCGAAACTCAGGTACAATGCAACTTAGTGAGTTGTTTAAACCTGCAAGTTTGGCTTAGCTTAACAGTTCTCTGTTCTGCAGAATGCTGGCTATGAAAATAACAATCGTGGATTGGCTCATCATTTGAGCTTTCCTATAACTTTCAACAATGATCCGGTGGAGAAGTTTTTTAGATTTCAAGAACATCCTATTCGTCACCAAATTCGAGCTAAACGTGGATGCGCCACGCACCCACGAAGCATTGCTGAGCGGGTAAACCCTGCCTTCTTTCGATCAAACCCGCTGTCCTACACTGATTAACTGCATTCAAATTCTTAAATCTCCAAGTTTTTGAATTTTTAGAATAGAAGAACTCGGATTAGTGAAAGAATGAAGAAACTACAAGAGCTGTTTCCTGACATGGATAAGGTAATAACCCTGACCCTCGATGATACATCATGCTAACGTCGTACTATTTCAATGTTTAAAGACTAAATCGTTCGATCAATCTATTGATCTTTCCTTGCAGCAGACGAGCAAAGCTGAAATGCTGGAGTTGGCCGTTGAATACATTAAAGGCCTGCAGAGACAGGTCAAGGTAACAGTCAAAGACAGCCTTAAGTTAATAGAATCACATGATGATCCAACTGCCACCTTTGTCTCATGAAAAGCTCTGTATTTGTTTTGGTGCAGACCCTCACTGATACGAATGCGAAATGCGCGTGCTTATGCTCGAGTCGATAACAAGAAGAAACACGTATATTTTAGCTTGGTTTTGATTTGTACAGACCACAGGTAAGCTTTGAGGAACATGAAGATCAAAGAACAAAAACAAAACAAAACAAAACAACGTTGTTTACTATGTTTAAAGTTATAGGATTCTACGAAGAATGTCTGTGTAATTGTATTATATGTTAGAAGTTCTATATAAGATCCAATTCAACAAAAGACAATTGAATAGTTTGCATTCTGGCATGTAAATATGCTTGTTGGATCATCATATGCATAGCTATAAGCCATTGGACAAGCTGACTTGAACGCTTTCGAATAACCCGTCGGCTTGCACGTCTGCGGGCTACTGTATGCCCTGGTGCAGCAATACTGCGACGTGTCGAAAGCCAAGCATGCACTTTTACAAGCAATGGTTACACCCTTCTTCTTCACCTCCAATCCACTAGGACATCGTTGATTCAAGTCCGACAGGCATTTCACTGTTCGACAACTCCTCGATCCACCGGAGGGGGATATCGAAATCTCCATGTTATAGCCATCAACAAGGCTAACATCATATAAATCCTGAGGACTGTCTAAGGTGAACTCTGCAAGTGTAGCAGGTGGGGCACCTCCCACCCCATCGCATTTGAGTACGCCACCGCAATCGCCTGTATCACACGTCCCTTTGCCAGAGGCATCGAAGGAACACCCATGTCGACCCCAGAATCGACCTGACCATCCTGTAGGCACATTAATCGTTGCGGTCTCATGGGGTTTCAGCTGAAATCCGCCGTTCAATAGCTGAGGCTTCCCTGCTCCTGGTTGGATTCCTGGCCATACTGAGTCACTACATTTGTTCACCAAACTGAAAACTGCTGCATCAGTGGCTGAAACACAAAAACATCCATCAAAACACAGAGAAAGAGATCAAAAAGGGAAAGATTTGTGATTATTACCAAAGAAAAACAGGAAAGCAGAAGGAAGAACAGGGAGAACTCCATGAGAGCAGCACAGTGTTAGCTTTGTGCAGAAAACCAGGAGTGGTGGCTTTTAAGAAGGCCAAACAGCACAATTAGTCAACAAGTTTAACTTGTCATTCTTTTGGCCAAGAAAGGTTACCAAATTTGGATGAAAACTGGAAGAAACAACTGGTTTTTAATGGGACTATAAATATATATATATATATGGTAAGTTTTTTAGCATTTGAAAATTACCAAAAGAGAAACGTTTGAATGGTGTGAAGAATCATGTGACCATGAGTAAAAAATTCATCTTTTACTTCTTGGGGTGTAATTTAAATTTTAATTACTGCTATAATTACTCATTCTTCTACTTCATTTTTGTTACCTATTTGACTACGCTACAAGATTATAGCGCATGAGAAAAAGCGTGGAAATCTCTTCTTAATAGACGCATTTTAAAAATTTTGAGAAGAATCCTGAAAGGGAAAACTTAAAAAAAATAATATCCGCTAGCGGTGGGCTTGGGTCGTTACAATATGTCTTTTTGTAGTGTAGGTCGGTCATCTGTTCAATCTGGAATTCCATCTCTCTTTTGGTTTTCGGTACCGGTTTGATTTGCGTTCTTTTGTTCAAATCAATATCTATGTTTGGGCTTCCCTTCCGGATTGTCCTGTCCATTTAATTCGCTTTTTTCCAATCAAACTCTCTATTTGATGATTAAGTTTTTTATGTAAAGAATCTTACTTATCCATAATATAGGTTATATTAATGATTAAAATACAATAACATAGGTATGACGGATGTTAATTACAAACTTTAAATATTTTGAATATTTTTTAAAAGTAAGGTAATCAGAATCTGAGTAATGCACGAGAATTGATGGAATAAAACAATTAATGTTTAATGATAATTCAAATTAGAAATTTGTAAGGTACATAATTTGAAGTAGTATGAATCTTTTCAACGATAGACATCTTAACTCAATATTGATCAAACTCGATATTCTATAAATTTCGATCGGAAAGTTGAAACAAACATTTATTTTTTTCATAAAACATATATCCAACCACATGATATCAAAACATAACAAGCAGTTTTATTCATCATCTTCAAACACCTCACCATCCTCCATCTTCTAAAAACCTGCATAAGAACATCAAGAACAAGAACAAAATCAAGTTTCTGTAGAGTCTTCAACACAAAAAAAAAAAAAAAACAAAAAAAA